AAGAACATAATTAAGATGATTCTTAGGTGTCCAGGGGAGAGCTCCCCCCCCCTTTTTTTTTTTTGCAAATAAATTTTAATTGTTCAGTGGGCACGCTCTACCATGTCTTGTCCTTGAGGATTGTAAGGTATTCCAGTTATATGAGAAACTTGAAATTGTTGACAAAATCTTTTAAAAGATTTGCTAGTATATCCTGTTCCATTGTCAGTTTTAAATTGCTTCGGAACTCCCAGAACATTGAAAGCTTGCAGACAATGAGCAATAACATTCTTTGCAGCCTCTCCTGGTTGAGGAGTGGCAAAAATAAATCCAGAATAGGTATCTATGCAAACATGTACATATTTTAATTTTCCATATTTAAGGAATATGAGTAATATCCATTTGACAAATTTGATTTGGAATCCTTTAGGATTGACTCCTAAATGAGGAACAGGCTGAAATTGAGGACAAGTACTACAAGGCTTGACTATACTACGGGCCTGTTCCTTAGTCAACCCATATTTAAGTCTCAAGGTTTCACTATTAAGATGATGCATATTATGCATATTATGGGCATCCTGGGCTTTTTCCAACTGTGAATAATAAATTTTGGTAGCTTTATCTGCCAATGCATTTTCTTCAGACAGGGTTCCTAGCAAATCAGAATGAACCCTCAAATGTCCTATAAAAAAGGGAAAACTTATTTCTTGTATCAAATTTTGAATTTGTAAAAACAAAACTCCAGCAGGAGAAGATGTCTGAATTTGACCTGCAGTCTCTAACCTAGGCGAAGACTGAGCTACATATGCATTGTCTGTAAAAATATTTAAAGACTTCTTATTAAAACTTTGAAACACAGCCAGTACTGCAGATAACTATGCTATTTGCACAGATGTGCTAGGCACTTGAAAATATATTGTTTTTCCTTTATAAGTATAGGCAGCAAGGCCAGATGATGAACCATCAGTAAACACCGTTAAAGCATCAACAATTGGATTAACTTTTGTTTTGAGTGGGAAAACTATAGGATGCACTTTTAAGAACTGAATTAATTTGTTTCCTGGGTAATGATTTCTTAATTTTCCCAAATTGGCACAAACAAGAGGCCAATCATCTGTATGAGCATATAGCCATTCCTGTTGTTCCTTAGAATAAGGTTGATAAATAATATCAGGCTCTTTTCCAAAATATTTTTTACCTTCCAATCTTCCTAAACATATCAATTTAGCCACAGCAGAATAACATGGATAAATAACCTTAGAAGAAGAAGGCAAATGTACCCACATAATAAATGCCTCTTGCCAAAACAATCTTGTAGGAATGAATTTGGTACAATAAATTAAATATTCAAGGGGTTTTTAATAATCTAAATAAGTAACAAATTTATTATCTATGGTGTGTTAAATGATTTTATTTATTTACTTATTTATTTACTTATTTACTTATTTACTTATTTTTAATGATTTCTAAAGCCTGGCATGCATCAGGAGTTAAAGCTCTGGAAGATGTTGGAGAAGTGTCTCCTTTCAGAACATCAAATAAAAGTTAAAGCTCTCCAGTGGTAAGTTTTAAATAAGGCCTAAGCCAATTGATATCACCTAATAGTTTTTGAAAATCATTTAATGTATTTAAATTGTCTATCCTAATCTGAATTTTTGATGTGTAATTTGATTTGGATATAATTTAAATCCCAAATAAGAATATGGATCAATTCTTTGCACTTTCTCAGGAGCTATTTGCATACCATAATTTTGTAAACTTTCTTGCATATGGGCATAACAGAATAATACTTGAGATTCATCTGTACCAGCAATCAAAATATCATCCATATAATGGATAATATACATTTGTGGCCACTTTTCTCTAACCTTTTTGTAAAGCTTGAGCAACAAACTTTTGGTACAAGGTGGGGCTATTGGCCACTCCCTGAGGCAAGACACACCAATGATATCTTTAATGGGTTCTTTAAAATTTACCGAAGGCACACTAAAAGCAAATCTGTGACAATCCTTAGGATGAAGAGGAATAGTAAAGAAACAGTCTTTAAGCTCTATTATTATCTTAAATGTTCCTTTGGGAATAGCTACAGGTGAAGGCAACCCTGGTTGCAAAGCTCCCATGAGCTCCATAGTTTCATTAACTTTTTAAAAATCTTGTAACAATCTCCACTTTCCTGATTTCTTTTTGATGACAAAAATAGGAGTATTCCAAGGAGAAATTGACTCAACTATATGTCCAGCAGTCAATTGCTCCTGTACAAGCAAGTGAGCAGTTCATATTTTTTCAGAGGTTAAAGGCCACTGATCCACCCATAAATGATCATCAGATTTCCAGTTAATTCCATCTGCACAGGGTACAGGCTGTTCAGTGACTGGAATTAAAAATACCCTAGCCCTGTAGTTCCATCGTTTCCTTGCACCTCAACAGGTTGGACTCTGCCCTGACTATCTTTTCTCAATCCCTGTCCTGGGAGATAGCCTGATTTTATCATCTGAAAAGTCACAATTTCATTAGGACTGCACATCATAACTCCCATTTGTCCAAGAATATCCCTTCCCCACAAATTAATGGGCAGATTATCAACAATGTATGGCTGGCAAGTACCTTTATTTTCCTCCGTATCCTGCCAAACTATCAATTCTGTACTTTCCTCAGGATTCTGCAATTGTCCTATTCCCTTCAAATGAGTCAGAGTAGGTTGTTTAGGCCAAGTAGGCAGCCAATGACGTCCTGCTATAATTGTAACGTCTGCTCCAGTATCCATCAAACCACCAAATTTTTTTCCATCAAGCCAGAGTGTTAACTGAGGTCTATCTCTAGTGATAGTTATGCCCAGTAAACATGTGAAGAGACAAAGCCTCCTGTGCCTGTGGCAGGACCAACAGCTTTATTTTGCAAATTAGGCTATTCTTTGATCATTCTGGATCATAGTGATTCCTCTAGATGAATTTACCATAACTTTAATTTCTCCAGTATAATCATTATCCATAATGCCAGAAAAACCTTGCAATCCTTTCACCGTACTACTACTCCTTCCTATAATTAATCCCACCAAACACTCCAGTAGGGAGGGCTTAAACTTCCATCTCATGGGTTTTGTGGGAGTTTGAGGGACAAACTTCATGGCCCCAACATAGGGCTTGAACCCACAACCCTGAGATTAAGAGTCTCATGCTCTACCTACTGAGCTAGCTGGGCTCTTTTTGCTGCCACAGCAATCTGTGCATATACAGTTGGAGGATAGTCAAGCTGATTACTATTTCCCTCATAGGGTCCTTCTCCAGTTAACATATTAAAATCCCATTGATGGTTTCTTGATTGCACATTTAGCAATGCTGTGTGTTCGTTTTACCACATCAGTAAAATCTGACTTCCATAACATAATAATCACCTCCACTGAGGCACGCCCTACAGAGCATTTTCCAGTCTGCTGGAGTAAGATTTGTCTCCACAAGGGAGTCCACCATGGCTGCAGTAAATGGAGCATTAGGACCATATTGAACACATGCAACTTTTTTTTTTTTTTTTTTTTTTTTTTGTGGTTTGAAATGTTCTACATTTTATTATGGAACAAACTCCATTCCCAGTTTAGACAAGACCAAAATTCCATCTGGTAGGATTGACTGATGATCATAGTTGTTCATAGATGATCATAGTTATGATGATGATCATAACTCTGTATAAACCTTCAGTCTTGCCATTGTGCAAATCCTTACAGACCCAGCTTTGTTCTCCTCCGGTGTCTTCTCTTGGAGTTGTACCTGATTTTGTTACCAGTTTTCATCGGAATCCATTGAGGAATAGGACGATCTTGCTTTTGTTTCTTGGCCAGGAATTGCTTGATTTGGAAAGTCTTGTGAGAAGACATAGCAAGAAGCCGAGTTAGGTGTAAGGCTCACGATGGAGGAGGAAAGGCGAAGAGGAAGCACACATGCAAGTTTTAATTCCTTTATTTGTTTAAATTTTAATTGGAGAATATTGACAAGCCCTGTTTCCCTGAGCATCTATCACCTCTACCACAGGAAAAGCCAACTGAAAATCTCCAGAATCTCTAGCTTTAGAAACGGCCTTCTCCAAGGGTGAATATCCTTCTTGGGCTACCTTAGAACCAGCATTATTTCTTTTCTGTAATTTTAACTTCTCCAACTCCTTTAATAACTGAACTTGTTTCCTTTCTAATTGGACTCTCTCTCGGAGAGCAGTAATATCTTCCTGCAGTGGTCCCGTACCACCTGCACATGTAGCAGGAAAAGCCATGGGAGCGGAGGGCGCAGGCCAGTCTGAATTATGAGACTTGGCAGCTTCTTCCTCTAGCTCTGTCTCATCCTCAGTATCTAGCTCTGTCTCCTAAATCATTTTCTGCTCTCAAATTGCCTAAGTCTGCTTGAGCTCCTGCATGAACATTTGAAATAACCTTAAGAGTACTTTTTTCTGTTTGGTTGCTCTAATTTCCCTGAGTAACTCTTTTGCTTGTGAAAGTAAAAAAAATTTTTTTTTTCTCTCATGCTGGGGATCCAGAGCATCTCAATTAAAGTCCACAAAGAAAAAGTTATAACAGGTACCTTCTCAGGACCATTATTAGTATAATGATCCTGCAACCTTTTCTCTACCTTCTCCCAAGTTTCCAGCTTAACAGTACCTTCATCTGGAAACCAGGGGCAAACTTCATTTACAAACTCTAGTAATTTTTCAAGGGATTTGGGCGTTATCCCAATTCCTTGAGTTTTTAGCATTGACTTTAAAGTCCTCATAAACAACTCCCTGCTATTGCTCTGTCCCATGACCATGCTGCCTGCCTACCTTTGTCTCCAGGCGATGGGCAGTCATCATGAAGCACTTTCACTTTGGCATCCGGAGCTCCAAAAACCAGCATTCCTCATGGTGTCCCTGTTTTCACGGTCCCTGTTTGGGTGCCGCCTGGCCCATCCTGCAGGCAAGTCGAGCAGGGTCTACCTGAAGGATGGAGTGGGAATGATAGCAGCAGAGACGCGAAGAAGGGAGTCAAGACAGGTTCTGATCAAGACTTGTTTATTCAGCACTCAAGCAGCTCTTTTAAAGCAAAAAACCACAAGCAACTTTTTCAAGGTAGCAGCCCATCTGCTTCTCTTGGCAAAATGTCTGAGGATTCACTCATGGTTACACAAAGCTTGTTATCTAGTTCTCAGGAACAGAGCACCCTGCTGGAGAAACTGCCAAAGTCAGTTTCTGAGAAACTGAACTTTAGATTAAACCACATCTGCCAAGGCCAAGAGGCAAAATCCCATTCCCAGACTCCTTCACACTTGTCACCATGGCCAGGTAATATTTTCTGGGTTTTCATAAAGATGCTGAAAGATAAACACTGGAGAAAAGACAATTCCTTCGAAAAATGGTGCTGGGGAAAGTGGATGTCCACATACACAAGAACAAAATTTAATCCCTTTATCTCACCCTGAACAAAAATCAAATCCAAATACATCATAGACCTTTATTCAAGTGTGAATTCTAGGACTGTGGGAGACTGTAGGGAAAACCCTTCAAGATCTAATCAGTGTCTAATGGTGCACGATCTTAGTCCCAGCACTCAGAAAGCAAAAGCAGGAAGATCTCTCTGCGTTCCAGGGCAGCCAGAAGTACACAGAGATCATTTCCAACCCCTCCACAAAAAATTAAATGGGAAACAGCACAACAAATGGGTTCCCAAAATTAAGACAGTTCTGAAAAGATGGACTACAAACAGCAATACATACATGGAAAAAGTCAGTGTTAGGGTTTGTACCACTGTGAAGAGACACCAAGACCCTGTGGTGTCTTAGAAAAACATCTAACTGGGCTGGCTTGCACTGTCTGAGGTTTACTCCATTACTGTCACGGTGGGAGTCACAATGACACACTGGCAGACATGGTGCTGGAGAGGAGCCTAGAGCTACTTCTGGATCAGCAGCAGGAAGAGAGGGACACAGTGTCAGCCTGCCCCCAGTGACACACTTCCTCCAATAAGGCCACACTTCCTAAAAGTGCCACTCCCTATGAAAGTAGGGGGGCCATTTTCATTCAAACCACCATAATATCCAACCTCATAAGTCATTATTGTGGGGCCAGATACTTGAGAGGCAGAGGTAGGCAGATTTCTGAGTTTGAGGCCAGCCTGGTGTACAGAGTGAATTCCAGGACAGCCAGGGCTACACAGAGAACCCGTTTCAAAAAAATTAATTCATTAACGACAACAATAATAAACACAAACCTATTGAGGGGCCATAGAGATGCTAGTGGTTAAGAGCATTGTCTTATTGTGGCAGAGGACCTGAATTGGGTTCTCAGCACCCATATGGGGCAGCTCACAAGTGCATGCTGCCTGGCTTCAGGGGATCCAGTGTCTTCTTCTGGCCTCTTCAAGCATGTGCACCACACACTCAATGTTGAGATTCCACAGTCAGAATGGAAGTCATAGGGAAAACAACAAAGGCTGTTGAGGGTGTGGAAAACGGGACCCTTATCCCTACACAATGGAAGTCAGGACACAACTTGCTCCCAAACCTGTACACAGAGCATAGGACCTGGATATTCTACTCCTGGAGATTCACCAGGTCAACACCTCACAGAGGCAACTGGATGCTGAGATTTATTGCAGCATGTGCTGAACAGCTCACATAAGAAACCAACCTCGATGCTCACCCACAGAGGAATGGGTAAAGAAAATGTGGTATACACACACAAAGGGAATTTTTTTCAGCCACAAAAAAAAAAAAAAAAAAAACCAACCAAAAACAAAACAAAACAAAACAAAAAAACCCTGAAAGTTACAGCATTTGCAAGCAAATGGATACAACTTGAAACAATCATATTAAAGACATTGAGTCAGCCTCAGAAAGACAGATACAAATACATAGTCTTTTCATTTGTGGTTCACAGATTTTTATGTAGTTAAACACAATGTCTTTTAAGACATAAATCAGAATAGTGTCTAATGAATTGAGAGGAGAAGAAAAGGAAGGGAACAGGGGTTAGGGTATGTTTAATCTTGAAGACAAATAAATTAAAATAAATTAGTTTAAGATCATTCTTGGCTACAAAATTAGTTTGAGGATAACGTGGGCTATATGAAACTATATGTATAAATATAAAAGAGATATATGTATATAAAATAAGATAGTTTTTATAAATATATTTTTCTTTACTTCATCAAAAAGAAGACCTAGAAGTGTGGTGGCACTTAGGAGGTAGAGCAGACTGATCTCTGTGATTTGAGCCCAACCTTGGCTACATAGTGAAGCTTTGTCCAGAGAGGAAAGAGGGACAAGCCATGAATGACTCAACCAAACAAGAGATTCTGCAGCTGAATCTCAGTGGCCGAAGTCTTTCAGCTCCTAGAACATTCTACATGGTCAACATGAGGTAGAAGACTTATCTTCCCCACAGAAAGACTTCAGTTTATGGCCGTCTCAAAGCCTGTTTGTGTGTGTATAGACAGGGCTTCACTCTGTAGCCCAGGCCAGACTCAACTTTGCATCTGCCCTCCACTTGCTGGGATGACAGGTATGAGCTCCACACTGGGCTCCATGAGTCCTTTTTGACAATGTGGAATTTACTAGGGTCCTGGGAGAGCTCCAAACTTGCTACGTTCACTGCACTGGGTGGCTAGTTTCTAGAAGCTTATTCATTTGTAAGGTAAGATGAGAAAGGCAAAGTACAGCATTGTAAACTAAGCACATGAAAACATGAAACAGTGTTTCTGAAGTTCCAGTTGTTGAGACTTCCAAGTTCCTTAGTTCTGTCTTCCCATCACTGTCACCTCATGCTGTTTTCCTCCATGTTCTGGGTAGAGCAGTCACGTCTCACTAATGAATAGCAGGCACCCTGGTTGGGGGACATCAAACATGAAACTTCAGTCAGGGCCTCTTTCAAATAAATGATCTTCCTGGTGAAGAGAGAAGCTCAAGAAGCAGGTCCACTTGATCCCTAAGCAGTGGCCATAGGCAGGGACTGGGAAGTAGGCATGCCTCAGAACCTCAGCACTCTGGAGGCTAGCCTGGGCTACATAGTGAGAAAACTGAGGGAGAGCTGGATACAATGGCACACTTCAGTAATTCCACCATCGGGGAAGACAGAGGCAGGTAGACCAAGAGTTCAAAGCCAGCCTTGGCTAGACAGTGAGTTCAAAAAATGGCCTGATCTCAAAAATCAGTTGCACATTCCCAATATCCCTTCTAAGGACAAAGGTTCCATTTCCTAGTTTCCACTCCCTCCCAGTGGTGCACAAGCCAAGGATGGGAGAACCCCGGATCCTGATGCCATAATGCAGCTGTCTGGCCCCTTCTTGAAAACGTTTCAGAAATGGGTCTGTGATCCACTCAGACCTACGCCTTCCTCCCTCGTACCTCTGTACTCACCGTATTATCTATGGACCTGGGCCACAGAGAACAACCTGGAGAAACAAGAGAATTTGTCAGGAAGAGAGAGACTCTGGAATCCTGGGAAAAGGATGTCTGGGGGTGCCTGGGTTTCTTCAGCCTTTGTACTGACACAGGACAGGGATGAGCCAGACAGCAAGGTACATACACTTTAGAAGTAGACCAGTAATTTAAGGTAATCTCTGGCTACATATAGAATTTGAGGCCAGCTGAGACTACATGGAACCCAGTGTAAAAAAGAAAGGAAGTGGCGGTGGTGGCAGTGGAAAATGTTAGTGGTGGTTAAAAGCACTGGCTGCCCTTGTAAGGGATCTGGATTCGATTCCCAGAACCCACACGGCAGCTCATAGCTATCTGTAACTCTAGCTCCAGGGCATCTGGCGCCCTCTTGTAGCTTCTGAGGGCCCTGCATGCGTGTACTGCACAGACATACCTGCAGACAAAATACTCACACACATTAAAAACAAAACAAAACAGAAAGCCAGGCATGGTGGTACACGCAGGAGGCAGAGGCAGGTAGATCCCTGTGAGTTCAAGGGCACCCTGGTCTAAATACTGGATTCCAGGTCAGTCTGAATGACATGAGACCCCTGTCTCCAAAACAAAATTATTTGTTCAAGGGCTGAAATGCCATCTCTGTCCTTTAGGCCTGGTGTGACATTAGGCCTAGTGTGCCCTCAAGTTCCCTCAAACATCTAGCAGACGTTAGTCAGTATATGGAAGATATCTCTTTTGTGGCAAGGCAATTGAAGACATTGAGGATATAGCTGAAAACAAGAGAGAGAGACACCCCCACCTTTCTGGAGCATTAATAATGATGATGACAATAATGATCCCAGCTAGCACAGCACCACTGTTCAACTTCCCGTGCAGCAATGGCTGTGCTAACCATGTTATCTGCATTGGCACATGTCATTCCACCCTTTTTTACGGATGAGGAAACTGAGTCACAGAGATGAAACCACTTACAGCCAGGCCCTGATTGTAGCCCAGGCTGGCTTCTAACTCACAATCTTCCCACCTCCACCTCCCAAGTGCTGGGATAACAAAGGCCTGTGTCAGCACCCTATCTTAAGAGTATGGCTCTTGCATGTCACCCAGAAAGGCCCATGGGTTAAAGGTCTAGATTCAGTGCAAGCTGTCAGCAGGCCATAAGAATGTAGGAGGCAGAGCCTGGCAGCAAGAAGGTCAGTCACTGGAGTGTGCTCTCGAAGAAATTATTGGGACCCTGATATATCGTTCTCTCCCCTGGCCCACCGCCCTCTCTCTTCCCTTTAAGACAGGGTTTCTATATGCAGTTTTTGGCTGCCTTGGAACTTGCTCTGTAGACCAGGCTGGCCTCAAACTCACAGAGATCCATCCGCCTCTGCCTCCCGAGTGCTGGGATTAAACACATGCTCCACCACCACGTGGTATATTTTGTTTTTGTGAGGCAAAGCCTTTTTTTTTTTTTTTTTTAAGATTTATTTACTTATTAATAGTACTCTTCCTGCATGTACACCTGAATGCCAGAAGAGGGCACCAGATCTCATTATAGATGGTTGTGAGCCACCATATGGTTGCTGGGAATTGAACTCAGGACCCCTGGAAAGAGCAGACAATGCTCTTAACCTCTGAGCCATCTCTCCAGCCCAATGAGGCAAGGTCTTGTGTAGCCCAGGTTGTCCTATGTAGGTGAGGATATCCTTGACCCTGACAGTCCCTGCCAACCCCTCTTGTGCTCACAGTCAACTGGAACACACACACACATTCTTAGACAGTGACCACCAGGACTGAGCAAGACTGGCCTGGGTGAGGCTGAAACGTTGCACTCGACCTGCTCTTTTAGAGGTTAGAGAGGGTTCTGTAGAGAAGGAGGCAGAGCCCAGGTGACCAGGGAGTGTGGGAGGAGAGGTTTATTTCATGTTCGAGGGAAAAAGGTCAGGATGAGCGATTGGTCATTCTGCAGCAGTGAGTCTGCAGCAGGCAAGTTGGTCAGTTAAAGCACAATCCCTTCCTCCACACAACACAGGTCCCTATGCCGACTACAGTGGCATTCAGAGCTAGTGCTTAGAGAGAGTGTGCTCTATGGAAAGTGAGGGCCTGGGGTGTGCTCAGTGGTAGAGCCCCTGCCTAGAATCCCCCAGTGAGGGGCTGGGGTGTGGCTCAGCTGTAGAGCACCTGCCTAACATACACAAAGCCCTGGATTCCATCTTCAATACTTCAAAACCAAAAGCAAAACACTAAGATTCCTTGAGTGTGTTGTGGGGAGGACGCATGGCTGTGGGTGCTGCGCACCAAGGCTGCACACAGCAGGGAGTCCTTTGCAGTGGCTCTGGCAACTGTGTGTGGGAATGACTGAGGAGAAGAAACTCACCACGCTTGCACATCCAGAATACCACACACATAATACCGAGGACAACCAGGCTGCCGATGATGATGGTGGCGATGAGCTTAGGGCTTAAGCTTGAATCTGGCTCCAAAACCTCAGATTTCTCTGGAAAATGGGCAAGCAGATGAGGAAAGTTACCAACCTGTTTCATTACCCAGGCATCTTTGAATCAATGTCCCAAGTTTCCTGTGGGGAATCACATCTCCCTCAGTCTACAGTGTTCAGGTGTTGACCACATTTATGATGCTTTTTTAAACTTTTTCAAGATAGGGTTTCTCTGTGTAGCCCTGGCTATCCTGGACTATCTTTGCAGATCAGGCTGGCCTCAAACTCACAGAGCTCTGCCTCCTGAATGCTGGGATTAAAGGTGTGTGCCACCATGCCTGGCCTACACTTTATGATTTCTACAGTTGGATGTTTGTTTTCTGCTTTGAGATGAGGGCTCAGGTAGGCCTGTCTAACCTCAAGTTTGCTAGGTAGCCAAGGATAACGTCATATGCCCATTTTTTTTCTCACTTTCTCTCCCCCAAGCACTGTGATTACAGGCATGCTGCACAACACCCAGTGGATGAGGTGCTGGAATTTGAACCAGGACCTCATGCATGCTAAGCAAGCACTCTACCAAACAAATTACATCCTTGATCCTGCCCTTCAGGCTCCTGATCCTTCTGCACCAGTCCTCCCAGTACTGAGAGGTGTGCACCCCAACACCTTGCTTCAGAGATAAAAGATGTGAAAACAGTTCCTGAGTTAGCACCTGGATGTAGCCACACCTGAAGCTTCACATTCAACAACTTACTTTCCAAGTAAAAATTACAATTGTTTATGTGCATGAGTTTGCATATGTGTTCATGTGCCTGCTGTCATGGGTAAGTGGAGGTAACTCAGAAACACAGAGACTTTGGCTAGACTTTGGAAGACAACTTGTGGAAGCTGGGTCTCTCCTTCCACTGAGTGCCAGGGATTGAACTCACATCATCACGCTTGACAGCAAGTACCTTTATCCACTGAGCCATCTTTGTGCCAACGGCCCTCCCCTTTCAGTCTTATTTTGCTCAGTGGGAACTGGTAGAGTTATGTCCAATATGCTTGGAGAGGACTTTCTGAGTCCCTAGGTCAGAGGTTTCCCACAGCTGCCCCAGCCTGGGCTGGTAAAGTCTGCATCCTATGACCTGCCATCCTACCATGACCTCAGCCATCCTACCCATATCCCTCCCCTGGGGGACACCCTGCTGTACCCTCCCCTCCACATTTGAGGACAGCTCACCTTTGACTAGGATTGTCACTTGGGCCTGACCAGACCCTAGGGCATTGGTGACATTACACACGAGGATTGTGTTATTGAGATGATCCACAGTGGTGATTCGGAGCTGACTGTCCTGGGGTTCAGCAGAGGTGGGCAGGGAACCTGTGGCCCTAGAGGAGAAGGGATAGTGAGCAGGTGGCCTCTGCTGACAGAACACTCACAGCACAGCAGGAACACAAGCCTGCTCTGGTGACATGCTGGCTGGCAGACAGCAAGCCTGTGTCTTCGTGCTTTCAGGTTCTGGCTTTGTCTTTGCCTTTGGCTATTCCCCATATGGCCACCAGAGGGCACACAAGAACCCAACTCCACTCTAGGACCCCCCCCCTTACTCAGAGCAAGACCCTCCCTCACCTGTGCCCCAGCATGTTTCTGTCCCCTTTGCTCCCCTGTGGACAGCTGCATGGACCTCTCACTCCAGGCACCACCACCTCACATAGGCCTTTGCAGAAGCAGGGATTGATGGACAGAAATATATTTGCAAATACCATTTCCTCTACCCACAATGCACTGCAGAGCCGCGCCCGGCCTCTTCCAGGATTCTTAGACATAACCTTGGTGATTCTGTCCCACTGTTTGTACTGCAAAGCAACCTATTTTCCCTATTCCCCACCCCTGCTTTATCTTTCCCAGGCATTCTTTATAATGTTATCTTGCTTGGTGAAACAGAAAAGTTAGAAACACAGACACTTTGGCCAACCTTATGCACCCAGCTGAGTTAGTGGATGGGCCCAAGTCCTGAGAAAGCATCCAAGCAGGAGACAGAGGGGGTGGAAGCGTGGAGTTCTGAGCACTCTACTGAGATGACTCAGAGATGCTCTACCACTAAGTCAGATTCCCAGTCCTAGGGTTGCCAAATCTTGATGTCATTTCCTTTCACTGAGAACTGGTAAATGAGTATGGGAATCCACAGACTGGAAACATGGTTGTGGTCGCTAACCCCCTTGGATGGCATGACTGCATAGTTAAAATATAAAAATGATCACCTTATCCCACACTATGAACTGGTTTTGTTTGTTGATAGGTTTTACCATGGCTAGAAAACGTTTTATAGAGCAAGCTGGCCTTGAACTCATAGAGACCAGCAAGAGACCAGCTTCCTCTGCATGTAGGGTGCTGTGATTAAAGGTGTGTGGCACCATACCTGGCCCTAAGGACTGGTAAAATAACTTGGTGACACATACAGTATAGAATCTAACAACATTAAAATACGGGTAGGGTCTAGTGGTGACCCAGGAATCCTAGCAAGCAGGAGGCAGAGGCAAAAGGGTCATCAATTCCTGGACAGCACCTGTGGTCCCAGAGCTTGGGAACTTGAAGCAGGAGGACTAAAGCAAGTTCTAGGTAGCCATGATGACATTTACATAATGAGATAGTCTCAAAAAGCCAAAAATGGGGACAGTGGGATGACTCAACAGATGGACGTGCTTTCCACCTGGGGACCTGTATTCAGTCCCCAAGACATACAGGTGGAGGGAGAGAACCGACTCCTGTCTTCTGACCTCCACATATGTATCACTCCCTCAAAATGAATGAATAACTGTAATAAGTTTTTAAGATGCCAAATTAGGTGCAGTTAAATATAAGAGGGAGAATCCTTAGGTTGGATTTCTTTTTCTCTTCTGAGAATTCATTTGGAAAATTCCTATGACTATATATTTGGAAAATTTCTACCAAGATATAAAAGGAAACAGAATTGTGAAACTATGCACTTTGATATATGTTTATAAGATGGAGGAAAAGTTTGGAAACTGCCCCTGGGACAGGATTAGAGCTGTTGGGGACCAGAGAAAAAAGGGAAGGGCTGTGTGTGTGTGTGTGTGTGTGTGTGTGTGTGTGTGTGTGTGTGCGAGAGAGAGAGAGAGACAGACAGACAGATAGACAGACAGAAAGACAGACATTAACCAAAGGCAATTGTAGCTGCTTTGGGAGGTGTGATCTGTTTGAAAGTTCTAGAATGTTGACCTAAGTTATTTTTGAAATACAGAAAGAAGCCTAATAAAAATTTTGCTAAATTATTTCTAGATTCGGGCAGGTGCCAAGAGCCCGCCTAGACTCCCCCAGTGAGGGGCTGGGGTGTGGCTCAGTGGGAGAGGCCCTGCCTAGACTCCCCCAGTGAGGGGCTGGGGTATGGCTCAGTGGTATAGTATTTTCCTAGTATGGATGGGGCCATGGATTCTAGCCTGCACTGAAAAAAAAAAAAAATCACCCCCCTTTTTTTTCCTTTCATTTTTTTCTTCCTTGTTTCTTTGGAATGAGGCTTTATTTATGTGGTGCTGAGAATCAGCCTCAGATCCTCATGCTTATACAGCAAGCACTTTCCCCACTGAGCCATCTCCCAATACCCTTTCCCTTCCATACATGACTTTGGAGAGTCTCCCAGAGGCTAACTTCCTCATCTGTGCGCTGGCACGGCTGGCAGCTTCAGAGACAGAGGAAGTGGGCAGTCAGCAACCAAAGGGATTGGGATGAGGCGGGCATCTTTGAGTTGCTTCTGTCCTGGAGGGTGCACCCAGGGACTTGCCCATACTAAACCATTGTCTCAGCTCTTTGTAACCTTTAACCTGCACAAGGAAGGGGATTCCCAAAGGGTGTGATGGAAAAAAAATTCCAGAACTGCTAGTGTGGCCATGGCCTGGATCAAACCACCTTTGAAAACCCCAAGTCACAGTCAAAAGATGGAAATTTTACTAGGACTAAAGAATGATTTTACTTTTTTTTTTTTTTAAAGGTGGGGAGACAGGATCTCTCTATGTAGCCCTGGTTGTCCTGGAACTTGCTCTGTGGACCAGACTGGCCTTGAACTCAGAGATCAGCCTGCCCCTGCCTCCCCAGTGCTTTGATTAAAGGTGTGTGCCACCACGCCCAACTCTATTTTTATTGCCCAATGCTCCCTCCCCTTTTAGACCTGTGGGTCCTAACCCCAGACCTCCTCCCAGACGCAGTTCCAGGTCCCCATCACTCACGTGCTCCATTCATAGCTGAGGGGCATAGGTTTGCTGCGGCTTTCACAGGTCAGGACCACATCTTTGAGGCCTGAAAACCAGTTGCCATTATAGCCAGAGATGGACACTTCAGGTGGATCTGAAGAGAGTGGACACTGAGGCTGAGATCTGGGCAGTGCCCGAGGGGCGTTCTCCTGAGCAGGAGGCAGCTGGGTGGCTTAGGGAATTAGCCTACAGTTGTTAGGTTTGTGCTTCCTTAGTCAGGGGGACACAAAGGGGACTTCCTAGCTCCTTCTTTAACTGAATTTTCCTGGAACAGGCCCTGGTTTGTGTTGGGTGTCATATGAGCAAAGGCCTTTCCAAATACTCCAGACACAGAAGCACATTCAAGGCTCTGAGTCCTGTGGGAGAGAGCCCAGGATAGACAGTGATGGGAAGGAAGACATACAGAGTGTCTCAAGGGAGTGTCTAGAAGCCAGGTGTTAACCACAGCACTGGGAAAGCTGAGGCAGGATCATGAGTTGAGGGCAGCCTGGGCTACATTGGGAGATCCCATCTCAACTTGCTCCTTGGGAAGTGATCTTGTGTTGATACCATCATGAGCTCGGTATAGACAGTTGTGGGACAAGAGTACATGCTACTGAGGAGGGGGATAGCTCATTCCTAGGGAAGCCAGGGCTAAAGATACTAGGAGACAGGTGTGTGTGTGTGTGTGTGTGTGTGTGTGTGTGTGTGTGTGCGTGTGCGCGTGTGCGCATGTGCGTGTAGACAGTATTAGGATGGCGCAGTATGGATGACATAGGAGCTTAAATCCCTACAGCCCAACATGGTAACCACCAACCACACAGCCTCTCATGGCTTCAGAGATGGCTCGTCAGAGACACACTAATTTGAAGATTTATTCTGGCAAGAAGAGTGTAAAAGTTCTCACCAAGACTGTCTGAGAAATCAATCATGTGTCAGAATGATGATCTCAGGCCGGTGGAACGGCTCAGCAGGTGCCTGCCACCAGGCCCAGTGACCCAAGGTCAAGCCCCAGTCTCACAAGGTGAGAGGTGAGAACTGAGGGCCCTGATTTCCACACAAGCACAGCACATCTACCCTGGACACAGAAATAAATAAATAAATAAATAAATAAATAAATAAATAAATAAATACCTAGATGTAATGATTTTTAAATTAATCTTTTGGATATTTTGGGTTGGATAAAATCCACTAGGAGGGTTAAGTGATTTGAGTCTGTGAGTGTGTCGTAGTCCAGCTTGGCCTCAGCTTCCTAAGTGTTGGGATTCCAGGTGTGCACTATGACACCAGACTTACACACCAGTCTCATGTAGCCCAGGCTAGACTTAAACATGTTCCCATCAAGCCCTTGGACCAATGGCTCTCAATCTTTAAGGCTTCAACCCTTTAATACAGTTCCTCATGTGTGGTGACCTCCAACCATAAAATTATTTTCACTGCTACCTCATACCTGTAATTTTGCTATGAATCGTAACACAATCTGGAATGCAGTTCACCTGATATGCAACTCCTGTGAAAGGGTCTTTCAACCCCGAGGGTCATGACCCCACAGGTTGAGAACCATCACCCTAGGATGACCCTGACCTTCTTGCCTCCACTTCTTGAGTGCTGGGATTACAGGTATGTGCTACCACACCTCGATTCGAACCCATGGCTTCCTGCAAGCTAGACGAGCACTGTTAGCAACTGAGCTGGATCCCCAGCCCTCTTAATGCGCTGAACTAGGGTGGTCATTAGAAAATCTGAAACAATCAGGGCTTGCTGTGCCTGGTTCTGACAATGTGCTAATTCTGCAGGTGTCGCTATAAATCTGGCGGCATCTGGGCAGCTGGAGGAGGTGACCCGGGGCTCTCAGAGTGTGAGCTCCATCCAGAGACCACAGCTAACTTCAGGTGCCGATGGGGAGCGGGGACAGGCAGCCACAGATGAGCCAGTGTAGACTGTGCAGGACCATGTGAACAGGACAGGGATTCAGTGGCCAGCTGTGGGGAACAGTGCAGGCCTTAGAGAACCACGGTAGAAAAGGCAAGGGAGTCCATGGAGCAGACAGTGACGGCACCCCACTGTATGTACATGCAGGTGACATACATGAGTTAGCGGGAAACGGAGGCTGCCGGGGTGGGGGGTGGGGTGGGGCTCATGCGCTTGTGCAAACACACTCACAGTTTAGGGAAAGGGTCAGGAGCAGCAGGTCCGGCTTCTGGAGGCTTTCATGTTCTACCCTGCAGGTGATGTTCTTGCCGTCTGCCCGGCTGGAGGGCTCCACAGAGAAGAGGCTGATCACCGTCACGGAGCCCGGCTGGGGCCCTGGTTTCTGAATTTCACGGGTGCTTCCATTCACATCCGAAGACCAGGTGATTCGTGGAGGAGGGCGCCCACCAGCGGAGATGCATTTAGCTACTTCCTGCAGCTTCGAGGTGGAATTGGGCTTCAGGGCCTCAGCAGAGTTGTTAGGTCGGGCTGAAAGAACCATCAAGAACACCATCACAGGTGCTCAGCAGCACAAGGAAGCCAGCCCTTTACTCTTGAATTTTTTTTTTTTTTTTTTTTTTTTTTGAGATAGCCCAGGTTGTCTTCTAGCTCATGAGCCTCTAGCTTCAGGCTCCTTGGTGGTTGGGATAGAGGCATGTGCCACCATGCTTGGTGTTTAAGGGTATGGGACGGTCAATTTGAAATCCAAGCTCTGGGACGGTGTCATGAGCCATTCTGTTAAAGGAGCTCATTAGGCAGGTGGGCCTTCTGGTAGGGGACCCCGTATTTGCAAGGTCTGCACTGTGATGCTCCCCAGAAATGCTTCTCACCTCTGACAACCCATCATTTGTGCACTGCTACAGCCCTCTAAGATCTGTATGGCATGAAGCATCACTTTCTGGGTATTTACCCACTCTGACTGAACAAACTTCCTACGGGATTGTACTGACGTACTGCTGTTCAGACGGATTAGTTCCTGATTATGGAATTCCTGATTTGATCCAAACAGTTTTTAAAGTTAAATTGTTTTAGTTGGTTTAAACTTCCCATGAACCTAAAATATAATGGGGCTACCTAGAAACATCTAAATTAAGTACAGATCTTGATGTCATTGAGTACAAACTGTTTTGTGTAATTCCTTATACCTTGTCAGGTTATGGCATTACATACTGTCATTCTAAATTTACTCTGTTTCTGGGAATGAAAGACAGACAAAATTACTGGAAAATGTACAGCTAGTCCTAATTGAAAAGACATATATTCTTGTAACTTTTAGACCCTGTTAATCTTTAGGCCTTGTCAACCTTTGTCACTCTGAACTCACTATGAACTTATGTAATGGATACATAGCTAAGAAATGTTTGGTTTTAAAACATGTAATCTGTTGTATTTTAGAATTCATCTATTTCTGTGATTAGTTGCCTTTTTTGACTATGAGGTAATTCCTTTTCTGGGAGCTTTGTTTCAGAGCTATAAAACTATGACCATATAATAAATGTTGGCAGAACTCCATTGGCAGAAGCCCGGTGGTGGAAGCCCATTGAATGGAAGCCTGCTGGAATTCGCTTCATCCACGAGTTATAAATATGTATATAGGTGTGTTTACATGTAAATATGTCCATCTGTCTGTTTTTAACATGTGTTACATGAGTGTGTGTCAACTGTCTGTAAGGAGCTCCTTTTATATCTTTCATTGAATGTGTATAAATATTTACAGGTCTATATGTCTGATTGTTTATGTGTACGTATGGGCTGATACTATGGAACAGGCAGCCTAAACTTGCTGGAGTTTCTGCAGAGGAGACACCAGCTGAAATCAACACCATGTCATACATAAGCTTGTGGAGTTTATTAAAGTTGAGGTTAAAAGTGTTTAACTTCATCCACCCTTTCCCTTGAGCGTGTGTGCACGAATGGTCTTTGCTTGCTTTGTCTCCTCTTTCCTTTTCCTATCAATTAACAAATGAGTAGATTCAGGACCTAATTGTGGAGGGCTCCACAGTGGACTGCTCCTGTGCATCTGTGCATGACCTAATCTCAGATCAAAGAACCCCTTTTTACAACCCTTTGCAGTTTTGGCTAAAAGCCACTTTCTACAGTCCTGGCTGCAGGAAAAAAAAAAAAAAAAAAAGGTGACCAGTTTAAGTTTTCCTCCTTAGCAACAGTGTAGCCAGTCCCTAGACCTAGGGAAGGATCCCTGGGCTCCTTTCCCCCTTCTTCTTTCAATCATCCATTGTGATCGGTTGCCTGAGCCATCAGCTCATCCACCCAAGAGATAAAGCCAAGTGGGATTCCGCATGCCATCCCAGATCCTACCCTGAACCCTGGAACCTTGCCAAAGCAGAGACACTGGCAGACTTTAGCAGACTTTAGCAGACTTTAACAGGATGGCAAGAAGGCTCACTGGATATAATGCTTGCCAGCAAGCCTGATAATCTGGGTTCAATCCCCAAGACTCACATGGGAAGAAGGATTGCTCCTGTACCTTTGTCCTCCAGCTGTTAAATGCACAACATGACACAGGTGCACAGGCACACGAATAAAACCATAATGAGATATATTAAATAAAATCTCAATTCAGGACCTGAAGAGCCAGATAGATGCAGACAAGTCTACACGTCATGGGGAGAGTCTAAGAATACACAGGTCAAGCTGCCAGAATGGTCTTTAGGAGGGGCTGGAGAGGTGGCTCAATGGTGAAGAGTGCTGGCTGCCCTTCCAGAGGTCCTGAGTTCAGGTCCCAGAAACCACATGGTGGCTCCCAACCATCTATAGTGAGATCTGCTGCTCTCTTCTGTTGTGCAGGCGTACATGCAGATAGAACATTGTATACATAATAAATCTTTAAAAAATATACATGATATATTATATTCTATATAATATATATATATTATATATATATATAAATATATATATATTAAATATATATATATTTAAAATGTTCTTTGGTACATAGCTCCATAAATATTTGATTGAAAAAAGGAAGGGAAATTGGGCGCATGATGGTGCAGGCCTTTCATCCCAGCACTCATGGAGACAGAGGCAGACAGATATCTATGAGTTCAAGGCCAGCCTGGTCCAAGACAGACAAGGTTACACAGGGTAGCCCTGTCTTAAAAAAAAAAAAAAAAAGGAAGGGATAGCCAGGAACTCAGAAGGCAGGGGAATTGCTGTGAGTTTAAGGCCAGCCTGGTTTGCATAGCGAGTTCCAGGTCAGCCAGGGTTACATAGAGAGACCACCTATCAAAACGGTGGGGTTTGGGGACCGAGGTGGGATCTCTATAAGCTCAGGAGGTCATGGTCATCCTCTGCTACATATTAAGCTGAAGGCTAGCCTGTGCTACATGAAATACTGCCTGGATTCTTTGACTTCCCCCACATCCGGTCTGAACAAGAGGAGGATATATCATGTCCCAAGGACATCAAGCTTGCCCTTACCTCACCCCAACACTTACCAAGCACCTTCAGCCAGACCCTGGAGCTCTTGCTGCCTGTGGGGAATGTGGCAAACTGACATTCATAGCTGCCTTCATCTTCAGCACGCAAGTGGGAGATGGCCAGAGATGCGTTCCTGGGATCCTCATCCAGCCTGGCAGACAAGAACATCACCCGCTCTGGCTCCACGATGCTGGGCCCCTTCTTGGGGTGAAAGATAGCCACGGGAGGGCGCGATCCATCTGGCATCCGCTTCATCCAGGTTATCTGTGTGATCGTCATAGTCTCTTTAGAAGCCAGGCTGCAGTGCAAGGCTACAGTCTCACCCAAGAAGCCGGTCACATTGGAGGCCACCTGCACAGCTATACCGCCACCTGGGAAACAGAGGCGCTGTTAATTCGTTTAAACTAATTTATTTTAAAGCTGTGTTTCTTTTTAGTTTACGCGTGTTAGTGTGTGCTAAAACATATGTACGTGCACCACAGGTGTGCTGTGCCCACAGAGGCCCGAAGGGAGGCGTCGGAACTTGAGTTGCAGGGCCATGAATCGCCATGTAGGAGCTGAGAACAGAACCCACGTCCCCTGCAAGGGCAGCCAGTGCTCTTAACTGCCGAGCCATCTCTCCAGCTCCTTATTTTACTTTATCATCATTGTTATAAAGTAAAACTTTATTATTGTTGTTATTATTATTATCATTATAATACACAGGGTCTCGGCCTGCACATAGACCAGGCTGGTCCGGAACTCAGAGGCCTGCTTGCCTCTGCCTTCTAAGTTCTGTGGTTCTGAGGCAAAAGCAGTGCCAACACACTGGGCTGGAGGCACCGCTTATAAATGGGGAAATGGACGCATAGAAGTGTTTGCTAGGAGATCACAAGCATAAGATGACAAGGTAGAATTTGAACTTGAGCCATTCATAGTCACTACAGTAGGCCCTATGGGAGACCTGTCTTTAGCCCCACACACAGTTGGCTCTCAACCTTAGTGAATACAGTGTCAGGCATTTCTGATTACCAGGACAACGACTTCAGACCCAAGTTCTGGGACCCCAAACCCCTCGACAGTGAGCCATGGGCCTCCCTGCACACAGTTGCAGTTGTGGTCTCTGTTTGTACATCTGCAGAATGGGCTGTCTAGTGCAGATGTAAACGTCCACTGATGGTCCTCCCCAGTAAAGATTTAATCCCTTTAAGGGGTGGACCTAGAGAAGTCTTTCCATTTGGTTTTTTTTCCTCTTTAGACAGGTCTCAGGTATCTCCTCAAACTCATTAATAGCCGAGAATGAATAAGCCTGAACTTCTGATTCTCCTGCCCCTAGTAACCAGTGCTGAGACAGTGGGCACACCCGGTTTAGGTGGTGCTGGGATCAAACTCGGGGCTTCCTGCAGCCCGGTAAGCACCCTATCACTGGAATAAAGACCCAGCTCCAGATGTTTGGTTTCTTTGGGACAGTCTCTCTTACAAAGCTCAGGGTACAGGCAAACTTGAGGTCCTCGAGCCTGTACCACCAAATCCAGCTTCCAGGTCTTGAGGTCACTAGAAATATGCCCTTGTTGTCCTAGAACCCACTCTGTACGCCAGGCTGGCCTAGCACCTGCCGCGGTTTCCCGAGTGCAGTCTGGGATTAAAGACAAGCGAGCTTGTGCCACCACAAGCCTTTGAGGGTGGGAGTCGGAAAGGGGCGTTGAAGACATGACGTCAGCACCTCAACCGGAGATCCTCTCCACCCACCAGTCCCGGAGCGCGGCTAGGCACAGAGCTCCTGCTTAGGTCCCTGTGACAGCCAAGGTTCTATCCTCAGCATTCGGACATGCTCAGCCCCGCGCCAGAATTCCCCAGAGAGGGGCCGGCTTCAGTCTCCAATTCAGTAAAAATAAAGGATGAGCAAATGAATGAGTCCAGGGTGACTCACGCGGAGCAAGCTGGCGAGGAGGGTGTGGCCGCTTAGGTTACCCGGCTTGGTTAAACCGGCCCTGGTTTTTCCCTCAGAATGTGTATGCGCTGTTTATTTTATAATTTAAAGTGTGTGTGTGTGTGTGTGTGTGTGTGTGTGTGTGTGTGTGTGTGGCGGTGGGGGGGGGCGGGTCTTATTTTGGAGCCTAATCCTGGAACTCACTTCTGCCTCATCCTCCCCATACCCCCGGTGTGAACCAGGTCAGATTTTTCTGGAATCTCTGCCCCGGACCTGGGACTTCGGGCGGGGAAGGGGGATCGGGAGGCCTGTGTGTGTTGGGGGGGGAGTCCTCCCGAGGTGAGCAGGGGCGCGGGGCTACTCACCCGCCTCTCCGGGCGCGCAGTAGAGCAGCAGCAGCGGCAGCAGCGGCGACACCAGCCACGAGGAGGGGCGGGTGAAGAGGGCCATGCGGTCTCTCCCGGCAGGACCGAGTGCGAGCTCCTCCTCCGGCTTAGAGCTGGAGACAACTGCTGGAATCCCGCCTGAGCACACCCCGGGACTTTTAGGGCCGTCCTTCGCCCTCTGCGCAGGCGCAGCCAAGCGGGTTCCGCCAGCTCCGACCCGGGCCGAGTCTGAAATTCCAGCGCTTCGGAAGCGGCCCCTATAGGACCTATGAGTCTTAGGCTGGGCTCCATCAGGTGGGTCTGAGCTAAAGTGAGACCTTGTCTCAACCACCAATAACAACAAAAATAACATAGAGGAAAGGGGGGAAAGAGAGAGAGAGGAGAAAAGTGAAAGCTTCTAGCGCCTTAGCTAGCAGGCTGCCTGAGGGCGAGACCCAGACACCTACTGTCATGTAAACCAGTCTCTCACCTCAGCGCTTGGGCAGGGAGGGAAATTGAGGCAGGAGGATCAGAAGTTCTATGTCTCCTTTGACTGTATAACAAGTTTGAGGCCAGCCTGGGCCATATGAGATCATCCTGGATTATATTTATTTATTTTTTTTTTTAATAAAAATAACAGGGAGGGGAAAAAGCTAGGCTTGGTACGTCTTTAATCTCAGCGCTTTGGAAGGCAGGCAGATCTCTGAGTTCTGTGTCGTTCCAGGCCAGTCGGGGCTACGCAGTGAAACCCCGTCTCAAAAAGAAATACGGTCTCATGCAGCACCGGCTGGGCTCATACTGAATATTCTAGGCCAGTAGTTCTCAAACTTCCCAATGCTGGGAGCTGTGGTGACCCCCCAACCATAAAATTATTTCCATTGCTACTTATAACCGTAATTTTGCTACTGTTGTGAAGCACAGTAAACGTCTATGTGTGAGGGATATCCGCTGGGTTGAGAACCAGTGCTGCAGGCTGACCAGAGCTCCCGATCTTCCTGTGTCACCTCTGAGTGCACAGGTGCGCGGCCCAGCCCTGCTCTCCGGTCTGAATTAATTTCTGAATGGGGTCTGAGGGGCAGGTCTCCTGGAAATCTCTGGATTTTCTTGAGTCCTTCTGTGGCGTTTCCACACTGAGAGCCTGGCCGCTCGGTTCCTCCTCTAACCGTGGGGTTCCCCTCGCCCCAGGGCTCCCCATTGCTGTGGCCAGCGTAATCTACAGAGCGAGTTCCAGGACGCTAAAGCGACAAAGAGAAACCACCTTCCCCCACAGAAAGGAAAAGGTTCCGTTCCCTTCTCCCTCCCCTTTCTGCCCTGGGGGAGTCTGTGAACGGACACAGCCACACAGCACCTTGGTCCTTTCCTGGAAAGGCTGCTCTGGCTTTGAATCTTTGGTCCTATGTCTTTCTTTCTGACCAAACTCACACACACACACAGCTTGTCAGCTTCCTGAAGTGAAAGAAAAAGGTGGAAAAGTCAGACTCCTAAGGAAACCAATGCCAGTCTTTATACTTTTCTTACTTTTACTGTTCTTTAACATCTGCATCCAATTTTGATGGATTTTAAAACTGTTCTCAATGTAAGTATGTATGTATGCAGTATATGTGTGCCTGAGTGTGTTTGTGAATGTAGTATATGTATGTAGTGTGTGTGTGTGTGTGTGTGTACACAGTGCATGTGAATGTATATGAATGTACATGTGTGTAGTGTGTGTGCCTGACTGATGTGTGCTTGTTGCATGTATGTGTGTGTGTTGATCAGGTTTATTTCTAGAGCTTTTGAATAACCCTAGTGCAAGCCCTATGGCACTCACTCCCTGGAGTCTCCAGCCTGCTGGGGTGGACGAAAGTGCTTCTTCAAAATGCAAATATACAAAATACAAGTTGTATTTTATTTATTGTGTATATATTCCACATGAGTGTGTATGGGCATGTCTTGGTGAATGGCTGGAGGTCAGAGGCTATTGAATGTGAAGATCGTTCACAGAAACAGCCACTCCCTGGGCGAAAAGGGAAAAGTTTATTTCAAACTGCCAAGGCAGTCTCTTGTGTGTATGGGGGAAGAAGGCAAGGAGAAGTGAAAGAGAGAAATTCTTCCACGTTATCAGGGAACATGACTGGGAGGAAGGGAGCCTGTGAGTAGGGTAGGGATTTGAAGTGTGTAACAGGTACCTGTGAGCAAGGACGGAGGGAGCCTGGAGGCCAGCAGGGACGCTGATAGGCCCCACAGGAGCGTGTTGGTAGAAGAGCCAAATGCCATTGGCAAGTGGGAACGCAGAGCAGAATTTTAGTATCTGACATGAATCTGGAGTAGTGGCACCTAAGCTTTAAAGTAGCCTTTTGTCAGTGACTGTCCTGAAGTTTTATGGAATTGTTCTTTTGAAGGATTCTCAGAGCCTTTGTTTAAATCAGTCTCAAGACTTATCGGTAAAAAAGGAAGTCTCATGTGGCTGAGAACTGCCTAGGTGATGGGTCTTTCAAAACAACCCCTAGATCAGATAAAGCATTTTGGTGTAAATAAATTGACTTGCTAAAGGTGCGTTTTTATGTACAATAAAAAGAGCTTCTAGTTTGGGCTGGAGAGATGGCTCAGGTTTTTAGGGCTAGGGTCACAACCAAATATTAAGAGTTTGGTTCCTAGCACCCATGGCTATCTCTCCAGGCACCCCCCCCCCCAAAAAAAAAAAATCTTCTAGGAGGCTGCCAGTGTTCAGCCCTTCAGAGGCTGATCTCCCTCTGCTGACTAAACTCATCCTGCAGTCTCTCTTTTCTTCCATCTTACGTAACCCAGAACACAGGAACTGGCTTTCCAAGTCCCCAGTGGAATGCTTGCTTTTGTCTAATTGTCAGAATTTGGGAAAAGGAATTTCTTCAGACTGACAGTTAATTTGCCAGAGTTGGTTCTTCCTTTCCACCAGGTGGGTCCTGGGAATCAAACCCAGGTGATCAGGCTTGCTTGCAAACACCTTTACCTGCTGAGTCACATCTCTAGCCAGAAAGTGCCTCAACTGATCAGTCTTTGTGGCTAGATTCTCAGAGTTTCCTGAACTAGGATGAAAGTTGCAATAAACAGGGAGGCAGAGGAGGAAAAGGTTAAATATTTTTGAACAAACTAGGAAGCCAGTGGCTAGAGAGATGGCTTTTTGGTTAAGAGCACTTCTTACTCTCCCAGAGGACTCCAGTTCCCAGCATTCACATTAGTTAGCTCAAAACTGCTTAGAACTCCAGTTCTTGCAGATCCAATACCTTCTTCTGGCCTTTATGGACACCTCTACATTACTTGAAACTATACACAAAGATATAAACACATAAATTTAAAAAAGAAAAAAGAATAACCAGGCGTGGTCACGCACACCCCGTAATCCCGGTGCTCAGGGAAGCAGAAGCAGGTGGAGCTCTGTGAGTTCAAGGCCAGCCTGGTCTATAAAGTGAGTCCAGGAAAGCCAAGGCTACACAGAGAAACCCTGTCTTGAAAAAAAAAAGGAAAACAGAACTGCTAAAGAACCAGCTTAGAGTAAAGCAGTTGACTGTCCACCAAACCAAAGTGGGACTGGTCCTCAGAAGTGACTCACCAACACCCAGCCAAGACAATGTTGAGTGGTCTGGGCACAAGGCGTTACCTGGCACCAGTCTGGGTGACTCCTTCACTGAAGATGGGTCATTCTTGGGGCCCGACATTGGGTGGCACAATACTATATCAGTGAAAAACCTCATAGAGAACAGGGAGAGTTGATTCTGGAGCCAACTATGAGCAACCTTGTCTTGAGATCATGGATTCAGCTTGATGTTCCAACAAAAGGGCTTCAGGCCAGGCCTGGTGGTACAAGTCTTCTGTGAGTTCCAGGCCAGCCTGGTCTACAGAGTGAATTCTAGGCCAACCAGGGCTACATGGTGCCAGAAACAGGTATGTGTGAGTGATGGCTAATCTTGTTTGTCAATTGATACATCTTAGTAAAGTGAACCTCACTTAAGGTATTGCTGTCATTAGACTGGCCTACAGCCATGTCTGGGAGGCATTTTCTTAATTGCTAATGGATGTAGAGCCCAGTCCGCTGTGGGTGGTACTATCCCTAGGCAGGAGTGTGAGACAGGGAGTGAGCCTTGTAACCTTCATAACCTTGGGTTTTCCTTCCCTGCCCCCAGTTCCCGAAATAATGACATTGAGACATTATTAATCATGAATAAATGCCTAATCTTTGGCTCATTCCCTGAATAGCTTATAACTTACATTGCCTTTTTATCCTATTCTATGTATGCCACGTGGCTGGTTTAATGCATCTGTCTTCCTCAGATTCCGGGGTGAATCTGTCCTCTCTCTCTCTGCTGGAGCTCCTGCCTCCTATTTCCTTCCTCAGCTAGTAGACCATCAGCTTTTTATCAACAGGTGATGCTTCCATACAGTACACAGAGATTTTCCCTGCATTAAGTGACATTTCTCCATGGTTCTGCTTCAAGCTCCCGTCTTGAGTTCCGGCCTTGGTTTCTCTCAGGGATGGACTGTAACCTGTGAGCTGAAGAACCTTTTCCTTTCCAAGTTGTTTTTGATCACGGTGTTTAGCACAGCAGCAGTACGTGAAACAGGATGGCAAAGCAGAGATGGGGGCACTAGACCACACGTTCCCAGAGGTTTCATGTGATGGTCAAAGGATATTAGACACAGGTTTGGGCAAGGAGCAGCTGCTCTAAGGGGCTAAAGGGAATGACCTGGCACTGGATCTGCAACATCCTAACTCTATAATCACGAAGTCAGTCAGTCCATCGGCCTTGTAGACTCTTTACCATAGGTGTGGTTTTTTCAGTCCACAGAGCAATTTTATGAAAAACAGATCTGGTTTGTGGCTTTGATGTGGTGGTGCAGCAGAAGGCCCAGGTAGATGATAGCAACTTGAGGAAGCTCCTTAATCTTGACTGCACTGCAGAAAAGAATCCTAGCCAGCATGGAGCAGAGTCGGTGCGTATGAAAAGTGGTGGGAAGGGCAGATGAGATGGCTCATTGAGTACACGCACTTGCAGCCAAGCCTGAAGACCTGCTTCTGAGTCCCAGCACTGAGATAAAACCAAGCAAAGTGGTGAAGTGTTCCGGCCCTGAGGCTCCTGAGTGGGTGAAAAGGCATGTGTGTTTGTGGTTTTGGAAGATATT